TCACCGACGACCATGATGATGAGATGAAGCATCTCCTCAATCAGAGTGTTGTTCTGCTGGACCACATCCTGTGAAACAGACAGAGCTGTCAGTACTGACAGCTACTAACATTCCAAACTCAACTGACTCTCGACTTCTTACTCTACTGACAACTACTAAGTCTACAGACTCTATTTGCAGCTACTTACTCTAATAACAACTACTGACTCTAATGACAACTACCTTTAAATACAGACAACTACTGACTAATGACAACTACTGACTCTACTAACTCTAATAAAAACTACTGACTCTAATGACAACTACCTTTAAATACAAACAACTACTGACTCTACTGACAACTACTGACACTTCTTACACTACTGACTACAGACAACTGACAGACTATCAGTAGTGTCAGTACTGACCTTGTTGGCCTCTCTGTATCTCTTCCTTACGTCTGTGGAGCTGAAAATGTGAAACAGTTCAAATCGGCTCAGAACGATCATCAAGAAGTGGTTTGGATCCATCATCGACGCCCCCGCCTGGAGAAACAAATAAAACCACCGTATCAGGTCACACATCAATCAGTCCATCACACTTTATTTGTCTCAGATTCAGTTTGTCTCATCGATGTCAACAAGCAGCAACGTCCTCTGTCCTTCACTCAACAAGTTAAAACTACAGAGACACTTTCTGAGCAGTAACTGAAGCTCAGAGTCACATGTGAGGATCCGTCTCCAGGACACGAGGACAATAGATGCTGATGAACTGAAGACATCAACACAACAACAGATTCTCTACATCAGAAGAAACAGTTTGTGACTTCATGTTTAAAGTATTTGTACATGAGAACATGTCAGATAGAGATGAAGGAGCAGCAATGACAAATTAAATATAGTTGTCGGTTGTTTGAGTTGTGTGTGTCTGTACCTGCAACATGATGATGTCCTTGTCGAACATCTCCACTCTGCACTTGACGTTGTGATAATAATAAATCTGAAAAACAACACACACTGTTGTTGTCATGGTAAAAGTGTTTGAGACTCACTCTAACATGGTGTCGTCATGGTAACGTGCAGCCGACCAATCATGTGACATGAAATCTTCATTTTAATCAGTTTAGGGGAAAAAAAATGTAATTGAAGCAGCAGCGTTGTTACCATAGTGATTCATGTCCTCAACCTCTGTGAGTTCACAGAAGGTGTGTGCACGCCAAGTGACCAATCACGAACAGCTGTGTGGTTCAGATGTGGACTCACCTGGTTGATCAGCGAGAAGCCATTTCTCCTCCACATCCCAGCATGCACCTGGGCACAGAGCACCAGGCAGCGGAGGGGGAGTTCGATTAGGAGGGGGGGGCTGAGTTCACCCTGAGGACACACAAACACACACACATAAATAATAATAATATAAAGTCCAGTGGGTCTCATAGTGTGTTACTGACCAATGGGAGCTGTTCAGGGACACGAGAGGCGACTTCTGTTCTACTGAGGAGAACATGGAGACCTGAGGAGTCAGAGGTCAGAGGTCACTGATGACAGCGCACTATGTCTGTGTGTGTGCATCAGTGTCTGTGTGTGTGTGTGTGTATACCTGCCAGCAGCCTGCACACAGGCAGGTGTATGGACACCTTGTCTTGAGACACCTGGTACCTGAACGTCTCCACACTGTGTCCACAAAGACTTAAGCTGATTGGCTGTTCACTATCAGGAAGACTGTTGTGAGACTGAGTGAGAGCACTCACACACTTCCTGTATGCCTCGACCAGCACGTGCTCCTGACACACACAAACACACAGAAGGAAACACATGTTTAACATCAATCATGTTCTAAAATCAGGATCATTCACGACTGACTTAGTTTCATTGTGTTATTGTTAATGTTATATAAGTTGTCGTATGTGTAGTATATGCTGTTGTTTGTATTGTTATGTTGTTGTATGTGTTGTGTTGTTGCATGTGTTGTTGGGTAGACCTACATCACTGCAGCACCACTCTTGTATCATTGTGATGACATGAGTCAGTTTCATCTGAAGTGTAAACGCTGTCTCCCACTCAGGCTCCATCTCAATGTGCTGACCAACCTGTCTCACCACTGGGTCCATACCCTGAGAGACAGAGACAGAGAGAGAGGGGGGGGGGGGATCAGAGAGAGAGAGAGAGAGGTTGAGAGAGAGAGATCAGAGAGAGAGAGGTGTTCAGGGATCAGAGAGAGATCTGATGCCTGTCTCACTCTCACCTGCATACACTTGAGGAGATCCAGAAAAGAATCAAGACCTTCGAGGAACTTCTGTCTGAGCTGAGGTGACCAATCAGAGGGAGGCGTGATCAACACGTACCTGAGAACACACAGAGATACACAGAGAGACATACGACACAGACAAAAAACACACACAGACACACAATGACACAAAGAGAGATGGAAAACTGGATACAGTGATCATTCTTTACACAGAATCGTTCCTATACGAGTGCTGTTTAAATCATTTGGTTGTAGTGATCAGGGCGTCCACGGTGATCATTTTGTGTCTTTTCATGTGTAAAATAGTTTTTAAAGTTGTTGTCTCTGTCAGTAAATTACTGCTCCTCTCTGAGTCTCCATCATTCATCACTGATGCAGCTACATTCACTACTCTACTGATTCTGGTGTTTCTACCCTTTACACATGTGAGTGAGTGAGTGAGTGAGAGAGTGAGTGAGTGTAAGTTAGTGAGTGAGTGTGTAAGAGAGTGTTTATAGTTGATGAATAACTGGTGAGTATTTGGTCCTTACTTGAGGTCACCTATGAGGCTCTGGACTCGTCCAAATTTCAACGCCTGCTGAGCCGTGTAACGGTCGAACTGGAAGCGACCCTGAAGATCTCTGTGACGCAGGTGATCAACAAACGTCCTGACGATGGTCGTCATCAAGTTCTGCTCCATCATCAACATCCGAGCCTGCGGCGCACACACACAACACACAAACACCAGCAGGGGGTGCTCAGATGAATTACTCTACAATATCATAATTATAACTGTAGCAGTGGATGATTACCAGCAGGGGGCGCTCTAAAGTACTCACCATTGTGGGGACGGTGAACAGTTGGACTGACAGTGACGTCACAGACACAAGTCGCTCATGATCGTCCTCCATGAAATCTGTCTGCAGCCGTCTGTAGTTCTACAGGGTCAGAGGTCAGAGGAGGGTCTGATCGGCTGTGCACTGGTCGGCTGTGTTTTGATCGGCTGTGTATTGATCAGGTGTGTTACCTTGGCAAATTGAATGGCAAACATTTTCTTGTACTTCAGATCCATGAGGAGACTGTTCATCAGCAGCTGGTGGTAGATGTTCCTCGCTCCTACAGACAAATGTTGTCTCAGTCAAAAAATTTTAACCTTTAGATGATTCTGATCACACATTAATATGTTCTCAATCTGAGGACTGTCAGTGTGTGTGTGTGTGTACTACCTTTCCACATCTTTGAGTCGTTGAGCATCAGTCTGTCCACCAGTGATGAGTTCTCTCCTTCTGGACTGTTCTGCAGACCAACTTGACACAGAATCCTCCTCAGTCCGTCTGACACACATTAACACACATATCACAAGCAGCCACGGTGACACATACAGGAGGAATGATGGGTAATGAAATACAGACATACCAGAATACTGAATGATCTGTCCCAACCAGCCTAGAGCCTTCAGGGCGAAACACTGATGAGCCACAACAGACGAGTGCATCACTTGAACCCTGAGAGGCTTCGACTGACGGCTGGTGTTCCTCTGAAAGGGGATCAATACAATCCTGATCAATATGTGTGTGTCAAGCATAATATAGAGAGCAAGCGGAGTCTGTAGGGATTGACTGCATGATTGAATATTTCTAATTAGATACATTCATTGATCAGATCATTATAAGAACAAGATAAAATGATCATTAAATAAACAGGTGATTAATTAATAAACAGGTGATCAATAAACAGGT